CTGAACTGCTTTCAGTCTGCAGGAAGGGAGAGAGAACCACAAACAGCAAGATCTGGGAGGTTAAAAATCCAAGGAAATAAGAGGCAAATATGAGGAGCTGTTAAACCTTCCCTTTTCTCCCCCTGAAAACAACAGAATTGCAAAGATAAACAATTTATAGCAAATACAAGTAAGAAAAAAGGAGCAGAGGCGATTATTTGTCAGCATGAAACCTGCAGAGCAAACTAATTAAAAAATTAATTAAAAAAGAGGAGAGAAAAATCCTCTTCACATGGGAGGGTTTTTTTCAGCTGCTGAGCCATGAAAATATTTCAGGTTTCAGTCTGAAAACTTACTGAATCCTCCTCCACTCATACAGGACCAAATAAACTTCCTATGCTTTTAATTCCAGGAGAAACTCGCTTAACAGAGCTTTGTTACAATACACCAGATGCAAGTTCAATCCCTTCCTTCACTCATCAACATTCCCTTGAAACTATATCCCCTTTGGAGAAGAAGTTTGAAGCGAGGTTGTTTGATGTCTCGAGAGAATTTCCCAGCTCCCAATTTACATGTTATTCCATCGCCAGCCCCCACCAGCCCATTCTCCTGCATCTACATTTAAAAAAAAACCAACCAAAAAAAAAAAAAAAAAAAAAAAAAATCCACCCCAAATTATTCTCAACTCATGTTTAGCTTCTAATAGACTTTCATTTCAAATATGAAAAAGAAGAGAACATTTGCCTCAAAACTTCTGGTTTTGTTTTTTGGGTGTTTTGTGTGTCGTTTTTTGGTTTTTTTTCCTCAACAGATTTTTTAATGTAACAGCCAAGATTTACAGAAACAGTAATTTCTAACTTCACCTTTGTGACAGTCACACAACCATGCACTTGCAAATGATTAAACACCACCTTGGGTACTTGGAGATCTCATCATACTGAGGTTAATTAATGGCAGTAGCTAATGAGGCATTAAAGAAGAAGAGGAGGGAGTTATCCCAAAAATCTTCAGATCCATTCTGCTCTTATTTCTGTTGTTGCATCAGCTTCACAAGGATCTCCATGTCTGACAATATTCAGTATAAAACTGGGAAGGAATCCTTCCCTGGGAGGGTGGGGAGGGGCTGGGATAGAATTCCCAGAGAAGCTGTGGCTGCCCCTGGATCCCTTGAAGTGTCCAAGGCCAGGTTGGATAAATTTGGAGCAGCCTGGGCTGGTGGAAGGTGTCCCTGCCCACGGCAGGGGGTGGGAATGGATGATCTTTAAGGACCCTTCCAACCCAAACCATCCTGTGAAAAGACAGTCGAGCTACAGACTCATCAAGTGCCTCGCCAAAACAAGTGCAAGTTTTTATAAACAGGTATAAAGAGTATATGCAAAAGTCCTAAAATAACCACAAAACAAACGTGTTCTGCTGGTAAAAATGACCATGAAATACTTACAAACAATCCTGTGGGGCACCATCCCGTTATCCATTTGGAGCCTGTCTTCCAAGAACGCTATTCCAAGGCTGCTGAAATTATCTACGCTCGCTTCAGCAATCAACTTGAAAGGTTCACCAGGTTTATAGGCCAAGGGTGAGCAATAGTCTGACCACCTCACAATCTAGAATAAAGCACATGAAGCTTTTTCAGTTGGAGAAGGTTACAGAAAAACATCCAGATATCAATAACATTATGTGTTTTCAAGATGAGCTGCACAAGGTTCGAATACAACCCGAAGAACCCGCTGAGGAAGGGTCATTTATGCAGCAAAACCTGCTACAAGATTTATCCCTGACAGAAGAAAACAGCAGCAACTAAGTATTCATAGCAAACTGGGGGTACAAATAAATCATTCCCCGAGACCAAGGCTATAAAAGTTTCAAGCAACACAGAAAATTCCAGCAGAGCATAATCACCTTCTGTAAAAAAAAAATTCTATCGGTGTTTATTTCCTTCAGCACAGATTCTGGAGGAGAACGCTGATAAAAAGAACAAAAGTGAACTACAAGGGTTTAATCAAAGCACACACTGATTATCAGAAGTATTAACTAAACCCTGAAGGTCCAAGCTGCTAATCTGCAGCAAAAATTCCTTTCTCCAGGAAATAAACATTATGAAATTGGGATGCACACTTGGATGCACAAACCAGTTGTTCTCCTGGGAAGGTGTTTTTAGAGACAGTGAAGCACCAGCTTAAAAAAAAAAAAAATTAGCCTTTGCCACATAACATATTCCAAATACTGGGAGACAAAGTGCAATTCCCACACAGCAGCTCCAGGACTTTGACTCTGCCAACACCAAACCAACTTCCATGAAGTTCCCTTTTTGTCACCACACAGGAGATGTAACACACTGGTTAAAGACAGGCAGGAAAAACACTTCTTTTGAGTGCTCAAAATGAGGGTGAGCTCTTGGGTATTCTACTTGCCAATACTTGATTATCAGCTAAATTTACCTTTTCACCTACTGCAGTAAAGTGGTTTGCATAATATTCAAAAGAATCCAGTTCCAGCTTCTGACTTTGGAGTATTTCCCAAGGGAACAAGAAGAAGGAAGGGACTGAGGGTTCACCCAACCTAAATGGCTTTGTCTCCTTTCTGAGTCATTCTTTAAGCCAGTCTCTGGCACAACCCATGTGAGACCATTCATGGAATCATGGAATGGTTCAGGTGGGAAAGGGATCTTGAAGATTATTCAGTTCCACCCCCTGCCATGGGCAGGGACACCTTTCACGAGCACAGGTTGCTCCAAGCTCTGTCCAACCTGGCCTTGGACACTTCCAGGGATCCAGGGGCAGCCACAGCTTCTCTGGGAATTCTATCCCAGCCCTTCACCACCCTCACAGGCAGAAATTCCTCCCCAATATCCCATCTATCCCTGCCCTCTGGCAGTTTGAAGCCATTCCCCTTGTCCTGTCCCTCCATCCCTTGGAAATAGTCTCTCTCCATCTTTCCTGGAGCCCCTTCAGGCCCTGCAAGGCCACACTCAGGTCCCCCCAAAGCTTCTCTTGTCCAGCTGAACAATCCCAGCTGTGCCAGCCTTTCCTCCCAGCAGAGCTGCTCCAGCCCTGGGAACAGCACAGGGAGCACATGGAGCTGCTGGAGAGAGGCCAGAGGAGGCACCAAGAGGATCTAATCCATACTGGTATTGGTGGTCTTTGGATATCCAACAAGAAAACTGGCTGGGTACCATCTGGTACATTACTTATCCTGACCCTTAGTGAAAACATTCCACTCCCAAAAGGAAAAGGAGAGCAGGGTGTGGGTGCTCCCCGCAAGATCAGCTGCTCGTTTTTGAGTTCTGGGTCAAACTTCAGCTCTGTAACACAAGAGCAAGTCACAGGTTCAAGCCAGAACACGGAGCTGGTGAGAACCAGCCCTCAAATCCATGGCAGATGTACCACCTGGGTCCTCAACCCCTGGGAATAACGGCGAGCTCCCACCTCCAGGACTTTCTGAAAGCTCATCGGCACGACTGTGCCACAAAGCAACGAAATGAAGTTACAGGGTGCATTTTGGGGGCTCTCTGGGGGTTTGTGAGCAGTTCTGAAGCAGAACAAAACATCCTGCTGGAAAGCAGCCACACCAGACCACAATCCACCTGAATCCCTGGAGTCAGAGCCGGTCAGGCCTCACCCCACTGTCACTGGGGGGGTGTGTGTGACCAAGTCAGAAGGAACTGCCCCAACCAACACTTCCCACGTGGAAAGGATTCCCAGCTGGGCTTAATTTATTGGTACAACATCCACAGCTGGGAAAGGGAGCCTCCAGTTGTAATCCTAAGGTGGAAAACTCTGAGGGCCTGCTGCTGATGTGGGAATTCACCATGACCAGTGGCAAACATTTCTGATGCAGGACATCACCTTCCTTCTCCGTTTTCCTCAGGATACTGGGGTGGAGGGTAAGAAAGATAATATTTAGGTATCCTTTCTTACCCAGAGAAGAGGCACAAGCAGGGGACACCCACAGCTCACCTGGAAACCATGAGGAAAATACATTGATGCTCTTGGGCTTTTTATTATGGCACTGAGCAAAATATCAGATCTAAAATGCAGTTGTTGCTGTGTGGTGCAAATAAAGTGAACGCAGAGAAGTGCCTCCCAAAGTAAAGCCTTTTCAAAGGGGTATTAGGAAGAAATTCTTGACTGTCAGGGTGGTGAGGGCCTGGCACATTTGCCAAAACACGTGACCTGTAATCCTGATCAGGCAACAATCCATTTTCTTCACAGCAGAATTAAAAATCCTCAAGGAATTTTTTTTTTCAATTATTATTATTTTTTTATTTATTTTTATTTTTTCGTGGTCCACCTCATTTTCAATAAAAACCAGTCACACATCCCTGGTAGTTCCACACAGAATGGCTTTTCTGGCTAGAAATTCTCCCAGGCCACAGGAACATTCCCTGGCTCTGGTGACATTTGGCTGCCAGGGGTACCAGAGTTAAGAGCACTTCACTACAAGGGACAAGGACACAGAAGAATAATGAACAAAATACAACAGCAGTCCTTTTCCTCTTTAATTTTGGTCTTATGCCTGGACTACCCCTTTTGAGCTTTGGAAATCAAGTGAATTATTAATGGCCACATAAGGATGCAAATGTTTTCCATTCTGTGAAAATACAGCAGAGCAGTGGGAAGCCATTCCCCCTTGTCCTGTCACTCCATCCCTTGTCCCAAGTCCCTCTCCAGCTCTCCTGGAGCCCCTTTAGGCACTGGAAAGGTCTCCCTGGAGCCCCTTCTCTTCTCCAGGCTGAACAATCCCAGCTCTCCCAGCCTGGCTCCAGAGCAGAGGAGCAGTTCCCACCCACAGCCAGAGAAACACCCTCCTAAAAACCCTCATCAAAATATCCACGGGTCTGTTTGAAGCATAAAATAGAACTAAACCATTAACAGTGATATATTTTAACAAAGAGATTACCTTTCTATTCCTAACAACACTACAACCCACCTGTTCTGCTTTCTGTGGGAGGAACAGAAAGAACCACTCACCTCTTTTGAAGAGTCAGGTCCCCTCTGCAGGTTCTCTGTCTGAGCAGAAATGCTTTCTGTCACAAAAGCTATGTGTTCTGCATTAAGCAACTTCTCAGGGTAAATGAAGGGGGAAATGAGAAGGAGACTCCACCTGTTTAAGTCATCAAGGAACTGAAAGAAGCAGAAAAGAAAAGTGAGTCTGTGCAGGAAGCAGCGGATTTAAAAAGTCATTTTTAAATTAAGCCCAGCCTGAATTCAAATGTGACCCTCCAGCCCTGCATGAAGGGTGATGACTATTTCACATTCCCCACGAGGGAAAAAAAAATGGGCTAAAGTACTGAACCATTACCCAGGAACACATCAAAAGCAAAACTAAAAGTGACAAGCCACGTTTCTTTAAGCCAATTCACACTCCAGCTTTCAGCTTTACAGGAAGGGTGGAAAAGAGGGGGCCACAAAACCCACTGTGCCGTTGGCACTTGTGACTCTTGTGGGCCATTTGCCAACGTTCCTCACCCAACCTGATCCTGCTCTCCCATTCCCCCTGCACGTGAAATCCTCCTGCATCTGCATCAAAATTCCTCCTTTGCTACAAAGCTCATAAAACATAAATAAATCACTCACTCGAAATCAATTTGTCCAGAAGTTATTCTAGCCACTCATGAGGCCACTGGATCGAATGTTTCCTTCATTCAATTTTAAAAAATGGTTCTCTCTCTCTTGTCCTCACCCAGCAGCAAATAAAGCTCAAAAGCTGGAACCAGTAAACCAGTGAACAGGTTTGAGTTCTCCCCGTACAAAACGTTGTTTCAAGGGAGGAAAATGAGATGAAAAATGAAAGCTACGGGGGTTTTTTTTCTGCAAACGGGCAGTGGAGAAGGAGGGTGAGGGTTGCTCATGACAGTGGGGAAAAAAAAATCTCAAAGCTTCATAGTAATCTGTTCTTTTAAAATACGACATGGATTTTTAGGTAGATATTGCACTGAGCTTAATTTTCTGACATATTTTTGAAATGGTAAGCCTTAGAAATGCATCTGTTTTGCTACTACCCATGCTAGAAACGCACACTTTCAGTCATTTTATGTCGAAACAGAAGATAATTTCCCCCCCCAGCACACTGAGAATCACTCCACACCTCAGATGAAACCCCAGAATTTTAAGTCTGTGCGTTGAGTTCCCTGCTCCAACCACCCTTAGTGAGCACAGAAGCTGTAAGAGCAAACACCTCTTATCTTCCAGTGAAAGGGAACTGAACTCAGGAAGCTTTACAGTCCCTTAAACATCCCCATCTGGCTGAAGACCAAACAAAAAAAACCTCTCCAGGTCAGGATTTATGACTCGTTGGTATCTTCAGCAGATCACTGCTCACAGGTCAGAGTCAGAGAGCAAAGGAGCTTTGCTGGCTGCCCAGAAGCCCCCCAAAAACATCCGAATTAACCTTTTATCTCTTCACAGGTGATGCAAAGAGCCTTTAATTCAAGGTCAGAGCCCTCCCGTGCCACACACCTGCCCCGGGGGTTCTCAGAGTGGGAGCTGCCAAGGCGTATTTTTTAAGAGACAAAAACATATTGAATAACAGCCCTGACCTCATGCCAAGCTTCATGCCAAGCTGCAGCTCCCCAGAGGGCTTCTCAGCTCCCAATAAAGTGAGCAGCTCATAAAATCAGCCTGCAGGACCAACACTGCAGACAGAAAAAAATGTGCCTGCCGTGCAAGGACCGAGGAGGAGCAGCTTCAGAAACGGGCAGAAGTGGAGCAAAGAGCAGCAGAAATCAGCTGAAATACTTCTTACAAAACAATAATCCAGAGAGACCAAGGCAAAAAACACAGTCAACTTTGGTTTTGTTTTTATTGAAGCATGAATTAAGTATTTAACTTCGCTGTGAGAGATCCTGAGAATGGCTTTTTAAGCATGAAATAATCTGCTCGTTAAAGAGCAAAAAAGGCTGGGTTTAAATGGAACAAACGCCATCAGCATTTCTGATCTTGTTTTCCCCTCACTGACAACATTCTCTTCACCCGCTGAACTTGTGAAAAGCTTCTCTGCTTCTTAAAGAGTGGCACGGTTCATAAATCCCTCTCAGCGGAGCCTGTAACAAGTGAAATAATTCCCACCAACACGCACATAAACACCAGCAAAAAGCAGAGATCAACAATGCTGGTATTTAGCGACAAATGCAGACAAATCCAACGTTCGTTTAAATAATTCAGACTATTGTGGGCACTGCCAGGGCAGTTCCACTTCCAAGCCTGAAAGTCAGGCAAGCTTAGTTTCAGTTTTGCTTCCTGCAATTCCAAGTGGAACTGGTTCAGGCACTGGATTTTTCCACCGTCATGGGCTGCCACAGCCTCCACCCCACCCTCCTCTCCCACTGCCCATTTGCAAA